TGTGTGTGTGTGTGTGTGTGTGTCGTACTTCCCTGTTGTGTTGTTGTGTTCACGGGAACAAGAGGCGGTGAACTCACCATAGCGAAGCCGGAGAGCAGCGCTGAAGTCCGGCTGGTGGCCTTCAGCTTGGCTCGGCTCAGGTAGAGTTTCCTCCAGGACAGAGCCTGTAACGAGTGCTCGTTCAAACTCATTCCGACGGAGTTGCTCTGAAAGTCGCCGCTTTGTTTTTGGTTCAAATCGACCGAAGCTCGATACGCGGATCCGATAATAATGAGCTTCCCCTCAGAGAACGTGGGAGAAAAGCAGGTGGACAAAGTGTCAAACTATGTGGAGACTTTCCTGCAGCAGCTGTCAGGAAACACAACATACCCACAATCCACCGCTCCTCCTCCCAGCCGGAGGCCCCCCCCCCCCCTGCCCCAGAGACGTATCTTCATTAGAGAATATGTCTCCAACGTAGAGCAGGCTGATCAAATAAAGTCAATATTAAAGCTGTATAATCTTTATCATTAGCAATACAACAACTGTATATTGCAGCTGTGTCATACAATGAAGTCTTTATGATTTGTTCAGTCTATAAATAGATTGTTTTAATCAAATATGTAATAAATGTGATATTAACTTTGTCAGTGTGCAGTATCTCTTTAAAATAAAGTATAATGTGATATGATATCTTGATAATTATCGATATCGACTGATCATTTTTGACCATGTTGTCCAGCCCTTCCCCAACATTGAGCCCGACTGTGCAATCTAGTTTTATTTCAACAGGAAGTGGCTTAACACTGATGCTCACACGCTTCATTATACGTGGTTGAATAGCGGCGTCGTTCCTCTTTAAATGATACTGTATATGTGGTGTCGTTGATTTTAGACCAAAAGTCAGAGCGACTGGGCAAAAACACACCAAATCTACCTGAAGTCTGGTGGTGACTTTTATTTGAATCAGTCTCTACATTTTCTTAGCTGCCATTGTGTCATTCTGTGTCAAATCATCACACTTTAGTTTTGCACCCTTACAGATATTAATGGGAATGTTCATCGTGTTCCGGCGTGTATGTTTCTCTGTGTTGTTAACAACAGGCAAATTCAAAATAAACTACATTGGTGATGGCTCCTATGCCACTGGAGAGCGTGCTCAAATAAATACATGATTTGAGTCATAATTTATTTAGCTAAATGTTAATTCAATACTGTAAACTATGTTTGAATGTTGAGGTTGTCCATTCATTTGCACTATTTTCTATTTCTATATATTTCTTCTATTTCTTTTAATACTATTTTATTTTATAATATTTGTATGCTTGAGGATTGAAAACAAAGTAAGAGTTTCATTAAATGCTGTAAACTGTGTTTATCTGCTGTGTACATGATAATAAACATCTTGAATCTTCATTAGCCCATATCTCCCTTAATTAGCATCTGAGACTAACAACATTTTTCTTCTATGTGTTTTTTATGTGACCAAATCAGAGACTGTGACATTGTGGTCCAAAAGAATAACTAAATAAGTATCACCATCAGCTATTTATTATTTCCTTTTTGTTTGTTACATCAATTGAATATTACTTGAAAACTCATTTATATCAACTGTCTCCTCACCACAATACATCCATAGATTAATTTGACAGTAACTGGAGTAATCTCAAGCATATACACACCCACAGACAGACAGTGCAACACTAAGAGCAAAGTAACAACTATCTAAGACACATGCACACTTTAATGTCAATAAGCATCTCTCTATAATCAGCTCTTTTGGACACTTTCTGGAAAGAAGCTCAATGTGTCACTGAGGAGCGAGTGAACAGGGAGCAATATGGCGAGGAAGTCATTGCAGTCGTTCACCACCTGAGGGCTCACAATCACAACATATGCTATAGAATCAGACATGCATGGGAAATTGATTTTTGTATGTTTAGAAAATACATTATACTATAGCATATAAACGTAATGTGTGCCTTTCTTTACATGCAAACATATATGCATATGTGTGTGTTTCCCATTACCCGCAGTAAACTGCACTGCACAGATTAACCATAACTGATGTCTCTCATTGAATTAGTTTTGAGCACAGTGAAATCTTATTTCACTGTCAAACACATCTTTGCAGATTGATCGCCACTCCCTCCTATCCTGTGATACAGTTCTTCTTCTTGACAAAGCATCCACTGTGTCAGGGCCTACATTTACTCATGTTTCAAAAATAAAATGAATATGGTCGTATAAGAAAAAAAAAAAAGCAACAAGCACAGTGTAGCAATAAGAGAATGTGGATACATATATAAACATTTATTTCAAATGCACCTATTAAGGGGTCCCAACATATATCACAATCAATAAAATCCAAAATAGAAATACAGTCATCAAAACAGCAACAGAAAAAAGAAAGAAAAAAAAATCAGAAAACAATTTTTTCTAAATAAATGATTACAGTCAAAAAGTGGCAACTCATAAACAGTTGGGTGTGATTGACCCTGTATTAAATAAAATCACTAAAAAAATAACCAGTTCATCTTGAGACAAAATCCCTTTTCATGTTAGCAGAAGGAACACTGACATTTCCCTCGACATGGTTGTTATATAACTGTTTCACTGCACGAGACGTTCTTGAAGCGACCACCAGATGCCGCCAAATCACGTCATCTTCACCCCACACAGAGTGGCCGACATGATTCAGTATGAAATCACAAACGTGACGTCACACAGTTCACTCATGAGTAAGTCAATGACACATCTGGTGTTACGTTGATAAGATGTGAAACTAGACAAGGACAAAGAGCTGACTCACGTTTGTCTTGAGGGTGTTTATCAATATGTCACCATTAGTGTGGGTGGGTTTTAATATCAGAGGAATGAAATGTATTCGATGTTATCGTGTTTAACAAATGGGGGCAAAGCTTTTATGTGACACCGGAAGACCTGTCAATTACTGATGTTAAATGTACGGCAGCCATCTTCATCTTCATCTGACTGACTTTTATCAGTCACAATAGTTTTGACCAATGGGCTCTAACATGTAAACACCACGAATAATCCTTGCAAAGCTAATAAGGCCACACTTAATGTCAGGTAAACCCAACCAAAGGCTTGTCAGATGAGCGGGCGACTAACATGAACCTGTGGGGATTAAGATGTAGAATAAATCAAATCAACCTTTGAAGAATGAACCTGTACGGTCTTACAACACCAAGCAGAAGCAAACACACACGTGTGTACGGTGAATCATCTTGTTTTACCTGCTCATCTTCATTTCCGGTTGCATCCATGCTGCATTTATAACGCACGTAAATACGTATTTTAGTGTGTTACAACGCTGTGATGCGCCACAATTGCATCTGCATCGACCTTTTATTTTACGTTATTGTTTCAAGTACGCTTCAAAATACAGAAAGTGTGCGTAACTGTTGTTTTTTGTGTCCAAGAACGAAAGGTAGCGTGGATGATGGGAGTGGATAAGGCGAGCGTGAGGCTAGTGTTTCCCGCCGTCAGTGAACGCAGCGCGGTGCACACAGCTAGCACCATGAGCTAGCAGCTGCCTGTGAGGAGCAGGGAGGGCGGAGCTGCGGGAGCCTCGTTCAGCCATGTTAGTTTTCTGTGCCGTCCACAAACGATGAGACAGAGGAGCCATGGCCTTGTCATTGAGCGGAGACGATGAGGAATATGATTCAGAGTCCGAGCAGGTCAGAGCTCCCACATTTCATATCGCCTCCTCTCCGCGCTGCCCGTCCTGTTGGTGTTTTCATGGTGTGCTGTGTGACTGAAGCTCCGTGTGGGAGCTGAATGGCGTTTTTTCTCCTTCACTCGCTTCAGGTTATCGTGCGGGTTTCACCCGCTCCTCTCCTCCTGTGTTGTGGTCGGGTGGAGGGAAGGAGGAGAAGGCTGGTGTTTAATCGTTAGCCAGGTCCCAGAGAGGAGCCGCTAACCGGACATTTGACTTAAATAACACGGGGTTAAATGGAGCTGGTCATCGCAGCTCGAACACGCCGCGTCCTCTCCTCCTCCTCGGACACCATCTGTCATGTTTCACCGCAACTGACCCATTTTTGTTGTGACCACCTCTGAACACACCGAGCACCTCCTTACACTGAACTTTACTGACTCCTGTCTGTGCCCAGAGCCTCACTGACCTCCTGCTAGCTGCACGGCTAACACACCCCATGTTAGCTAAAGCTGTGATTTGCTCCTTCCACATCTCCTCCTGGGAAACGCGTTTGTTGCGATGAATGTCCTCACACTTGTTAAAGTTGCCCCTCCACTCTGTGTCTTTAAGAAGGCTTTAGGCTAAATGTTGTGGGAGCAGGGGCCGAGGAGGGGGATGGGGAGCTGGAACAATGAAGTGGCTCTACTTTTTGTTGGGTTCCCAAATTGGGTCCCAGTGACCCCGGCAAAAAATTCATGATTGTTTCTTATCCACATGTTTTCCAAGTTTTGTGTCCACATGCTGCTGTTGATTCTGTCCAGAGGTCACAGTCCTGCAGGACTAACTTACATAATATTAGATTCATCTGTATCTGGGTCCACAGCATGAGTAGTTTCCAAACAGCCTTTTATGGGATATTGCAAAAGCCTCCATTAGTCACTTGGCCTGTACTGTTGAGGAGAAACATGAGAAGTGTTGACATGAGAGCCAGCTCCTAATTCTTACACAATGTTTATACCCACACCACCCATTAACGGTTCCTCATCACAGAGAGAGTTGTTTTGACCTCTGTTGTGACACATTGTTGGAGAGACACTTTTTTTTTTACTTTGTGTCAAGTACCCCACTGTACATGAGCAGCAGATGATGTGAGCCTTGTGACTCCCCCCCCACTGAAATCCACGCTGAAGCCTGAGTCAGAAGACTGTTCCTCAGAATATAGGCCATGTTTTTGTTCTCAGGCCTCAGAAACCAATCCCAAATTCCTGACATAGTACAGCAGAGAGTTACAGTAAAGACGGGTCAGGTGATAGTTGCTTTGGGGATCATGCTCTGCACAGTGGGCTGGGCTGGTTCCATTTGTTTGTAGACTTACTTACTATCAGCTACTTGCAAAGTAGCCAGGTAGGGTCCAGAGATTGTTCAGGGAGTGGAAGGAACATGCACTTATTTCATCAGACACTGTGTTCAGAGGCTCTCTCAGGAAAACAGTTGTCAGACAGGAACAGAAAAATAATGAGGAAGCTGAACTTAAAAAAATACTTTCTGATGTTGACAGTCTCAGCAGCAGCAGCAGTCCTTTCTGTGATGTCTCCCTTGTCCCCTCCATATTTCCATCTTAGTCAGATTTGATTAAATGCTAAATCAGCAGGCGAGGACCAGCATATTGTTTTGAGAAAAAAATTATATTTTAAAGAAACTCCACAATCTAAAATGAAAGA